TCCTGTGTTCTGATTGGGGTGTTGCTACGCAGTACACGCACGTCCACACTCAGAGGCTGGTACGCTTGAGGTCTGCACATAACTTTTACTTCAAAGAGAGGAAAAAGTACCATAAACAAACGCAGACTCTCCCCGACTTACGATTTCTCGACTCTACGGTTGGGCAAAGCCATGCGCACCCAGAAACGGCGGCTTCGGGAGGGGAGGTACATTAACCGCGTTTTCAGCCTGAGCGTGTTTTCAGCCGGTGACGGGTTTCCTGGGACGTCGCCCCACCGCAGGCCGGGGGGCAGCGTGCAGGGCTCCAGACAATGAAACGCGAGCCGAGGTTTTGCAGGGTGATGGGCACCGATGCCAGTAACTTTCTTGGAAACGCGTCCAGACCTCCCACGGACGGGATGGGCCAGGCGCACGCCGCAGAATCGAGGGGCCGGCCGGCCTCGGGGTGTCCAAGCTCCCGTTCTTTCATCTCTCCTGTGCGTCTGACATTTCTCATAGTAAAAGTTGGAAAAATCTTTAAACAGATTGAGGCATATCAACCAAAAATAGGGAAGAAAAGCAAGGTGGCAGGAGACCCTTCGCCAGCAGCCCTCAGCTCCCAAACCCCACAGTCTAGGATGGACATCCTGGGGCACCCCGTCCAGCGCTCCCGCCCTGGTGCCCCGTCCTCAGGGTGTCTCCCATTCTCCCAGGGGCCACTTCCCTCCCCTGCAGGAGCAGCCACGGTGAGTGGAAATAACACCCGGGCAGCCTCCACCCACAAATTCAGGGCAAATGAAAACCTGGAGGAGCCGGGCTCCTGAGGGCTTGCGCTGCCACCTGCTGGACGAAAGGCTTTCTGCACCCCGATTCCCCTGTCTTGAGTTTGGGGCTGCAGGAGGCCCCTCACTGCAGTAAATTGGGGGGGAAGGGGGGCCCATGCATGGAAGATGCACATGTCCAGCGCCCTGGGACCCCCCCTTTCCCTCCCCAGAGAGGTGCACGCTCCCCTTCCCTCCAGCTGCTCTCTGCAAGCTGGGGGCTTGGAGCTTGGGGCCTTCCTCAGGGTGCACCCCTCACCCTCAAACACACATCACAGGGGCACAGCCCAAGACCACCCGCTCCCTCAGATGGGACAACATCGGGATCAGGACCCTCAGATGTCACTGAACTTGGGAATGTGTGGGAGCCAACCATTCTAAAGCTGGAGTTCCCTGGTAATTATTGAATAATGATATCTGGGGACATCCCACACAGCAGCACGGCCCTGCGACCTGCATCCTTAGGTCGATTGTGCTCCCTGGAGAGGGCACCTGGACCCTGGCAGGGACCTACTGCGAGCCTGGAGGGACAAGGCGGCCAGAGTGGGCTGGGCAGATGGTGGGGGGCAAAGTCCAGACTGAGGGCCACCCGGCGTGAACACCAGGGGCACAGGGACAGAGAGGGACACGGCCTGAAGCAAAGCTACAGAAAGGGGCCTCCGTAGGCCCTGTGGTGAGCCTCTGTGCTCAAAGGGGACACCTGCACCACCCCCACCAGGTGCAGGGGGTGGTCAGGGAACATGCTCTCTGAGAAGCGAGCAAGGTTTAACCAGAACGTCCCCTCTGTGCGGCAGGGGGCACAGGCGCCCACTGTCCCCTTAGACAGGCTCTTAGGAGATTCTTCAAGAGAAAGAAACAGAGAAAGAATCCAGACAGGCTGCCCGAGGGCCAACTCCAAGAGCTGGAGGAGCAGCAGCTCCGGCTGCTCCAGCAGAAGGTGGTGTCTGTCCCCCTTGGGTACCTAGTGTCACACTGGGGCTCATGATAACCCTACCCAGAGACTCTGGACCCCAGGAGCCATGACCCAAGAGGCCCGGAGTAGCTGTTCCCCCCTCCAACGCCAGTGAGCCTTCCTTGAGGCTTCCCACTCCTGAGGTCACCTTCCCAGGCCTGCACACTGGGCCAAGCACACGCCAAACCACAGCCAGCAGCCTCTGGGCACAGCAGGACAGGGCTGGGCAGGACAGGGCAGGGCAGGGCTGGCCACCACGTCAATGCCTCCAGCAGCCCCTTCCAGCACCCAGGTCCACCCAGCAATCAGAGGCCCTTCCTCTGCAACTGCAAAGAGCGACTGTGACAGTCTCCTCCCCTCCAGGCCTCCAGAGACAGCACGGCCCAGCCCTCCTGGGACCCCAGGCCACAGTCACGACCCAGCAGTGACGTCCACATTCCCTGCCTGCAGCTCACCCCTGCCCGGCCCAACTAAGTCACAGCTCCTCGGTGGAAAGTTCCTTTCCCAGAGGTTCTCTCCCTGCTGAAACACAAGCGCTTGGAACAAGATAAAACAGCTTAATTTGTAAAAGCCGCAAAGCCAGTCCAGAACAAGAGGGGAACGCGGAGCCTTGGCTGGAAGGAGCAGCCTTCTGTGTCTCAGCGGCCAGTCACTGCTCCGTGACTCACCCCCGCCCCGACCCGGAGCCCTGGGGCATCTTCCCAGGGGGGCCTGACTGCTGACGAGGCCCTGGCTCAGAAACCAGGCGGGAGCTGAAGTCTCCTGAGGCCGCCCACACCTGCCCCAAGCCCTTCCCAGAGGGTGGGCAGGCCCACCCTTCCCCCCAACCCTTCCCGGACAGCTGCAGGTCAGCGGCTGAGAGCCGCCCCGACACGCCCTACCCGCCAGCCCAGTGGGCCACGAGTGGTGACAGCCACAGCTGGAAATGCGCAGGTGGGGCGTCTGGCCAGGCAGGAACCCCACGCCCCTCCACGTGTGCACAGCCGCCTGGCCCCAGCCCACCTCCACCCTGTGCTCGGTGGGGACTGGGGGGTCACGACCACCTTACCAAGAGACAGAGGGGCAGGCCTGCAAGAAGGAAGGAGACCCCGGAAGGGAGGCGCCCCCAGATCAGGCTCAGAAGCCCAGTGGCTGCACTTGCCCAACTCCCTCCCTTTACAGATGAGGAAACTGAGGCCCCGGCTGAAGAGGGACTTGCTCAGGGTCCCGGCAGGCACGGGGTGTAACTCACTTCCCCAGGGACTGGATAAGGGCTGTGTTACCATTAAAGACCAAGGTCAGGTCCGACCAGGCCTGAGGAATGTACGGAAACAGCTCGGGATTTTCACTTCTGTTCACTGTAACCCGTTTTTAACCGAGCTTTGAAAGAAATTATTTTTTATTTTGTTGTTTTTTCTTTAATGAAAATGCATCCAAATGAGGATTTCATAGAAAGTCGTGATTTTTGCTCGGGCACATCCTGGGAGAAGGTCCCCACAACATCCCTTCCCACGCTGTCCTCAGCAGAGGGTGGCAGTGCCCAGCTTGGTCGCAAAGGCGCGGAGCTGGCCGTTTTCAAGTTCATGAGAAGCTCCTGGAGTCTGGTGAGCCCGGAGGTTCCCAGACAAGGCCATCACTCCCGCCTCCCCAGGGCCCCCTGCCCCCCGCTTTTTTGGGCCAGCTCTCTGGTCTCCTGTGGTCACTCATCTGAGCCTGGGCTTGGTCATCTCAAATGAAGGGCCCACATGGGTCCCTCCCGGTAGCCCCTGAGCCCTGCCAGGCTGGGAACAGGAGACCCCGGCGCTTCATCCCCAATCCAACACCAGGGGACCCGTCACCAGGCTCCAACTCAACACAGGCCGGCGCGTTTCCACCAGCGGAGCTCGGGCCCTGTCTCCACGGCTGCCCACCTCCCGCGGTCAATCTGCAGCGCCTGTTTGTACGTGACCAGTGGCAGGGGCACAGCACCGCCTGCACCTGCACGCACCCGCAGGCGCTCCGCCAGCAGCTCCGGTGGCCGTCCCGCTGACACAGGCCTTCCTAATCTCTGGTCTCTTGGGAAGCCCCGCCCGACAGGCCCAGTGGCAAACAAGAGACCAGGGCGATGGCACCCAGGGGTCAGCTCAGGACACCTGAAGCTCAGAGCGAGGCTGAAGCCCGAGGATGCGTCAGCCCTGCGCGGGGGACCCCAGCACCCGGCTCGAGGGGTGCCTGTCGGCGCGGACACTGCGATGAGCAGGGCCTGCCCGCGGTGCGGTCAGAGGCTGACACAGCCCCAGCGCGCTGCTGGGGGGGGGAGCTGAGCGGGCCTGGCCTGGGGGGGAGGTCTTCTCGCCGGACCACTAGAGAAGGGCACCCTCCTCCTCCTCACGTGGCCGTCCTCGCCGGCCCCACGCTCTGTGCCCACTTCGTGGGGGCTGCCAACGTGAACAGCCGCTTGGCTTTTCGGTGGGGGGCTCACAGCTCAGGAACCAGCTGGCATCCCTCACTCCGGGCCCTGACGTGATATCCAGATGTTTTCAACAGTGATTCTGCTCCAGGACCTGAGCAGAGCCCACATCAGCTCATCTTTCTGTCCTGAAACATCCCTCGTAACCGTGGACGATCGCGACTGCCTCCCTCTCTGTCACAGGCTCCCAGGTAAGCACAGGACCTGAATGCCACTGCCCCCCCCCAGCGAGATTCATCCTAATGCCCCCAGGGCTTGGGCAGCACGGGACAGGCCGTGGGGACTGTCCATGCACACACCGCCTGCCTCTGCCATCTCCTCTGGGCACCGGGAGCTTCCTCCCCTGTAATCAAGTCCCGGGAAGGCACCAAAATGCTATTTCAGGGAGGAGACCACGGCGGCCTTGAAGACAGGCTCCGCTGGCGGCTGGCAGCGAAAACGCAGACCACACCGTGGACGAGCGAACCACCCACCAGCGTCCCCGGTGTCGCCGCCCAGACCCCAGTGCCAGAGGAGGGTCCCCCCACCCTTTCCTGCAGTTCGGGGCCAACAGTCTCAGCATTTCACAGTCGTCTTACGATGCAGAAGTGGCACATGGGGAAATGAAAGAAACAGCGAGGGGGAGGAAGCCGAGTTTAAATAAAAGCAGGACTTTGTCGCTTAGCGTGGGACCATTACGTGCCACAACCTCAGAACAGCCAGAGGAAGAGAAATATGTCCACGAAAATGACCACAAGTGCCCCCGGGTGCTGAGTTCCCACAGCAGGAGGCAGGCTCTGGGCGAGGGAGCGGGGGCCCCAGTGGGAGGGGCCGCGCCTACCTGAGATCCGGTCTCTCTCCATCACTACGACACACTCAGCAGCAGGCGGAGTCCAGGTCCCCTCTCCAGAGGCGTGCTCCCCTCTCTCGCCCGTTGCCCCCCTCCTTCTGCCTGCTCCTCCTGCTCCAAAAACACTCTTTGTCTGGTCTAATTTCTTCAATCTGCTGCGATCTCGAACGCATCCAAATTACCACATTTCCATGTGCTGGTCATATGTTTGCGCTCCAAACTGCAGCAGCATTGTCTCCGATGGGAGCGAACCGGGAGCGGAGGGGGGGCAGGCGTGGGCCTCGAAGGGCTCCCACAGCCCCGGGCCCGTCCCGTCCACCGGCTGCTGAGCGGCGAGGACCGGCGGAGGCCCGGGTCTGGGCTCTCTGCACGGTGGCTCCGGGCTTCCGGTGGCCTTCTCTCCACCCACTCCGGCCCCGCCGAGTCTCGCTCGCTGCTCCTTTTTAATATCCACTTGGAGAAGCTTAACTTAGCCTCTTGGAAACCAGCTCACAGAGTCAAATTCCTGGCGACGTCCAAAGTCTTTCATTTTCCAGGTCCCGCGATGCTATGGTTTCCTCTGGTTGAGGCGTCTGAGCAGCCCCGTTCCTGGGCCTGCCTCGCCTTCCCCTCAACTGCTACCCGCCTGCCCCCCTGCGCCCGACGTGGCCGGAAGGAGGGGCCGTGGCGCCCCAGGCAGGCAGCCCAGCGAAGGCTCGGGAGCACCTGCCCAGGACGAGCCCCGCGAAGTCACCCTGCAGGCGTCCAGTGTCCCGGCAGCCTGCGGTGGCAGAGGCAGCCGGCTGTCCCCGCCCAAGCCGAGAGCGAGCGCGGGCTGGAGACTTCCTGGAAGATTCCTACCACACTCATGAGTCAGTGAGTCTCCAGCTGTCCCCTGGGAGGGAGCCCGGCTCCTCGCCGCCGATTTCCCCAGACTCAGCACCTCGGGGAGGGAACAGGGGGCCCAGCTGGGCGTTTCCTGCTGTTCACCTGGGGTCCCGAGCGCTGTGACCCGGCCACCTCCGGGGCCCCACCAGCACCCGGTCAGAGTCAGGGCCGGGGGATTGGGAGGATGGGGACAACCCCTCTGCTCTGCAAGCTTCATTCCCCTCAGGGGTTCATACGGGCAGCCCTCGGCCTGAGACAGAGATGTGTTTTGTTTGCCTGACCATTGAAAGAAAATTTGTGGTTGTGCCCATGTTGGACACTCGGGCGATTCCACCGAGAATCCACATTTTCCGCTTCTCTTGGAAACAGGAGGGCAGGTGGCCGCAGCAACGAGCCCCTGCCCGCCTGGCCACGTGGGCTGGGTCGAAGAGTGGCACCTGTTTAGCTGAAGCCACGTTTTCCGGTTTGCTCCGGCCCCCACGCTCCCTCACTCGTTTTCACTATTTGCATCCCTGCCCTCCCCTGCCGCCTCTGAGCTTGCAGCCCCTGCCCGCCATGGCCACGTGAGCTGTGTGTTACCACGAAATGAGGCCCAGGCAGTTCTCTGCTGGGTGTCACAAAGTCCCGGTCCTCTCCTGCCCAGGACAAGACCCCAAATGCAGTCTGCCTGGTAGCAAGGGCGTCTTCTGGGGGAGGGAGACAATTTCCAGCCTCCGAGAGGCACCAAATAGCAACCACATCACCCCGCCCACCCCTAGCAGAGCCTGGAGGACAGCCCCAAAGGCAGCCTGCACAGGGATGAAAGGTGGGGACAGTGTCTGAGCCAAGGGACGTCGGGGGCCTCAGGCATTGTGAGGAGCTGAATAATGGCCCCCAACAATATCGCATCCGCGTCCCTGGAACCTGGGACCCCATTTGGAGAAAGAGTTGTTGCAGATGGATTTAGTGAAGGGTCATGAGATGGGAGATTATCCTGGATTGTTGGGTGGAACCTAAATGCCATTACATGTACCCATACAAGAGGGAGGCAGAGAGAGATCCGACAGCCGGACAGGGGAGGGGGGTGAAGACGGAGCAGAGAGAGATGGGAAGATGCTGGCCCTGGAGATCGGAAGGATGCAGCCACCAGCCAAGGAATGCCGGCAGCCCCCAGACGCAGGAGGAGGCTGGGAATAGGTCTCCCTTAGAGCCTTTGGAGGGAGCTCAGCCCTGCCGACACCAAGAGACGTCAGTCTATTGGCCTCCGGAACCGTGAGAGAATACGTTTCTATCATTTTAAGCACCCCCCCGCCCCCCCCGTGTATGGAAATTTGTTAGCGCAGCGATAGGACACATTCACGCTGGAGCCACAGACTAAAGAGCCACGGGAGCCACAGGCTAGAGCCACGGGAGCCACAGGCTAGAGCCAGCATTCCCCATGCACTGTTCTCTGCTGAGGACATTTCATTCTAAAACATAACGTCAAACCAGCCACTGACAAGCGGTGAGTTAGAGCAATAGGAATCGTGGAAATTTTTGGTTTATTTAATCTCTTTTCCGATTTTTAAAAACCTTCCTTATTGGTTTTTCTGAAGATAAATGTAACACATGTTCATTGTATTAAATTTAGAAACCACAGAAAACCTATAAAGAAACCCCTTAAATGCCAAATGGACTCTGCAACACCAATTCCAGCGGCGGCCGCAGGCCCAGGAAGGTCCCTTGAGGCCGCAGACCTAGGTTGGCTTCTGGGCCAGGACGAGGGCCGGGCTCATCCACCCGGAGCCTCGAGCGGGCGCCAGCCGAGCACGCCACAGGTTTCATTGCTGTGGTCGGTGCAGCTGCTGCGCGCAGCTTTGGCCCTCGGTTTCCCCCGGGCGTAGTTTGGCTCCCGGTCCTCCCCCCGCCGTGCCTAAAGCTCCAAGCATTCTGGCCCGGGCGGGGGATCGTTTGAAACCAAAAACCTGGCAGCACCGATGAGCTTGGATGAGACCTGAGTTAGTCATGAGCCAGCTCAGAGGCCGATGCAGAGGTGGGGTGAGGCCAGGCAGTGGGGGGGGAGGCAGCCCCCCACTGCTCACGGAGACCCTGCCTCCTCTCCTGCACCCACCACCCAGGGGGCAACGCGCCAGGCCCGGCCAGGCCCCCTCCCCAAAGTGGGTTCCCCACATGGCTCCACCCTGCAGAACTCGAGCAGGGCTCGGGGTTCCAGGCAGCTTTCTCCCTGAGGGGCACCAGGAATGATGGTCAGAGAGCAGCTCCGGCCTGGCTGCGCCCGGGGATGGATGGCTGCGCCCAGGGACGGCTGGCTGAGCCCGAGGCCATGAGCGGTGCAGCCGGTCTGGCCTGGGGGCTTCTCCGCCCGGCCTTGG